CCCCTCGCTCACCCACACCCCCACCCGCAGCCCCAGCCCATGTCTCATGCCCACCCACAGCCACATAACCACTCCCATAGCTCATTCCATCACACTCATTCCCCAATGTCTGTGCTACGTCTATTGCATTCGACTGCAACGTCTACCTCACAAGTCTCATCCACTTCAACGCCTGTGTATATTCCTGAGGTGAGTGTGCTTCGAATTCCTAATTATAATCTTCTAAAGTTACTCAATTCTTATTTATCTGTTTTTTTTTTTTTCGTATTATAGCATAATGGAACTGTGGAAATTCTGACCACACGCTCAAGAGTCATTGCTGCAGCAAATCGACGATCTCCTGCTCGCCGGCTCCATTTGGTGTCAACTGGCACTTCTACATATCCTAACCTTCTGTTACATTTTATGTGAGTTTGAAAATCAGTGAATTGGTTCGCTATCTATTCCTTATATATGTACTTCTTTTTTTTTGCAATGTTTTATATTTTTTCTTTTTCTTTTTCTTGTGGGTTAGTGCATTACTTATTGAAAATTATGACTTTATTTCAGAGCCATGCTATCACCAACTAATTCAACACACATTCAAGGAGATATTGGTGCTTCAGACTCTTTAGAGACTGAAAATTATGAAGCACTTTTGAACCTAGCTGAAAGGCTTGGTGAAGCCAAACCACGTGGTCTCAATAAACCAGAGATTGACCAGCTTCCTTCCTACAAGTAAGTCCCCAAGATCATTAGTTTATTGAATTCACTCTTAAACCAAGGGCTAATTTATTCTCAATGGCGTCTTCATTACTTTTGTTTTATTTCAGATTCAATGTTGACACACATGAAGGTGATCAAACATCTTGTGTCATCTGTATGTGTGACTTTGAACTTCGTCAAGTTCTTAGAGTCTTACCATGTTCCCATGAATTCCATGCCAAGTGTGTTGACAAATGGCTAAAGGTTAGTTTTGAAATGAAATATTACTGATGCACCTGATTTATCATTGATACAACAACTCTTAATTCTTTGATATGTGATCTTGCAGACAAATCGAACTTGTCCAATTTGCCGAGGAGATGCTGCAGCTTTTTTACCACAGGCTGAGTGAGATTCGCCATGCGCCTAGAAGCTGTAAATCTACTGCTCCACAAGAAAGTGAGATGTGATAGTGTGCGAGCCTCATCACTCAGTGTAAGGCTGTGTTGTGAGTGACAGTATTTTTGGCTTTCCTCAAGCAATGGAAATGATAATTTGTTTGACGACCTGCCGGGTACCTTAAGTGTAACCTTGTTTTGTGTGTAATGTGCTGTTCTCTTGTGTTCATGATAGTTAAGTCCATTAAGAATCATGTTATGTGACTATTGAGACTATACTCATGTGAACAGCAGCATGTCAACAAATAGAGGAGTTGTACATATAAGGGCAGTTAGATATTGTTCAGTGTTTGCCTGATCATTTTTGCCAGTACATCAGATGGTCTTTTACCATTTCAGGAGAATTTAGACAGAAGTTTTTGTGAGCTAATTTTTGCTAGATTTGGATGGTACCACATCTGTCTGTATCGGCTGGGATTGTTCTTTTGAACCAGGAAACTACTGTTTTTGAACTTTTGTACGTGTGTGTGCGGATCACTCTATTGTTCTGGTATTTGCTTTCCAAGTAAATTGACTTGCCCACTTGTCATCTCTCTATTTGACAAATTCCCTCAGTGGTGTGTGGTGTGGATAGCTATGTGAGGAATTTAGCTGTGCTGTTGACAGTACCAAAGTCATGCAAATGATTTTAGTAGGGTGCTTTGGGTGGTTAGTTCTGAGTGTCTATAACATAAATACACCCCCTCTCTTGTTTTTGGTTGTGCCAAATATGCACATATCGTCGATTATTCCTTTATCGTTGAGGGATCATCAGTTTTCTAGCTGTGAAGGCAAAGTATTCATAATTAACAGTATGAGGTAGACATATTTCTGTGTCAGTTGTCACTTGCTAGAAGTCAAGAGACTGAATTGCACAATCTAGCATTATTATTTGTAAAGATTGCCTATTTTGTAAAGAAAGCACATTTCCAACCCACATTCAACTCAGGCCCTGTATATGAGTGTTTCTTTAGCTTTATTGTATCTTGTGTTATCATAATTAAAGCAATACAACCTAGGAAACTCCTTAAGTCATGATTATTTGGATTGGCTGATGCAATTCTCCTGAGACAATTTAAGTTCTTAAAGGTTTAATTTAGGTTATATTTGATCTGGCTGTGAAATTGCTTTCTACATCATGTGTAAATTTATCATGAGTTCTGAATATTGCAATATCTTATCAAATTGTTTCTACCCTTTGAAAAAGTACCTTAATATCTAATATTAGATGCAAAATATCTACACCCCTTTCAAAGAGCCTGATTACAGTTTTAAGGGGCTGTAGTTATTATTGTGAATCAGTATAGAATAAAGTGTTAATTACTTTGCTTGAAAGTTTCCAATATTTAGCTGTCCGTTATTGTAGAGGGTATCTGAAAACTGTTTTACAGTGCATCACTTTCCATTTACTACATTAGGGTTTACATGGATATGGTATTGTCTCTTTGAAGAATGTTGTGCGAGCTAGTGTCACTGCACATTGTGCACATTTGTGAATGAATTCAGGCAAGTGTTGGCTGACTTCCTTGGTTTTTGGTACATGTTGCAACCACAAAATGTATCATAACTGAGAAATATTCAGCATTTATTTGATTATGTTATTGTTTGGTATATAAAATTATTTTGATTTGTTTTCTATGGTGTTGTGTGTTCTTAATGAGATCAAATTTATATCTATTGAGGGGTTACATTATGTTACGTATAAAGCTTTGCTTGCACCTGTGTGAAATGAAATAATATTCAGCCTGTTCCCTGTTTATACTGTATAGTCTATTTAGTTAAGGTGCACCTCAAGCCTTTTAGAATTTATCAAAGATTTAATTCTGTTGTTTTCTCTTTAACAATATACATTACTATGCTTTAAATGCAAAACTCTTATTTTGATTTATTATAAACGTTGTATTTTTTATTAAAAATGTGTTGTTTGCCTGCAAAATTGTGTTATGTAATAGTAATAATCTAGGTTTTGTGCAAAAGCACTCAGTTTATAAAGTACAAAGTGGATTTTATTTGTAACTCAGATCCATGTAACAATGTATCTTATTCCATCAAACCTGCTCATGTGCTATCGTCTTGGTTAAGGTTGGTCACAAGTGCAGAAAATGACGGATATTTCAGCATACGTAACTGATTTAGGTTGTTTGTGGGTGAGTGTGTATGTTGTAGTGTGTGAGTGTGCATCTTTGGGAACATAGATACGTGCTTTGGAGTTGCTTGTTCTATGCTTCGGATGTTTATCACTACAATCGCTGTGATTTGTAATTCCAGTGGGAAATTGTCATTTTAGGTTTTGGTGTAATTTCTTTTGTGAATGTGCCAGGATTTTCATGGAAAACTTTGATTAATGAAGCAATCTGCACTTCTACATCATTTTAAGAACTGCCTCTGAGGTAAATGTGCCAAAATTGAAGTTTCCTTATGAGCGCAGAATATGACTTAACAAATTGATTTAAGAGCTCATTTTAATTGTAGAATGTAAGTTAGCTGTCTCATGACGGCACACTTCATCTTAAAATGTGAGTGAATTAGCTTTGTTTTTCTGCCTAGTAATTTTTAGCCAGTGATTTTCTTCTACATTTACATACATTCTATATTGCTCAAGCACTATCATGCTGGATAAAAGTAGACTGACAAACTGGTGTTGTGAGATGCTGTAAATGTGTACTCAAGCTTAACAGGGTAATGTTTGATGTATGATCTGTGAGTGCTTTCTGCTGTCTGTCTTTATTCAAAGTGCCCAAAATATTTAGGAAGCAGTTCTTGGAACAAAAGCCCCAAGGAAGCAACGAAAGTAGTTCTTCTCTTTATGTGGTAGGTAGATACTGCCCCTGATATCCATACTCAAATCTGATTTTTTTATGTTTCAACTTGGATTACCCCTTCAAATGGGTATGTTTACTGTGTTTACTAAATTTCTTTAAATCTTAGTTATTTTCATTCAATCCATTAACGCTAGAAATCTTGGACCAGAACACGATCTAGATTTAATGATACTTGTGTCCATTGCAGTTATGCTCTCTCAATCTAAATAATAAATCTACCTGTAGATTTACCGGTCAGTGCTGTGGTGTACAGCATCTATAACTCCTCCATGCTTACCCTCTACCGTTTTTTAAAACTACACTTAATGGTGTTACTCGTTTTTAATGTTCCCAATATTGCCTGGTCCAACTTTTGTTTTAAATTATCCTAGTTTTACTTTTGCAGAGTATGTCATTTTAATGTTAGTCACATCATTTTATAAGTATCTGTGGCCCTGACTTGCTTAGTCCTGTTCAGTTGTGTTGCTGTTATGTTACCAGATAGTAAGTTTAAAAGGTTTTCTTGCACTACTGTTTTTGTCTTCTTAAGCAGAAGCAGTGAAGTTACCAGTTGAAGCATCTCATAAATGGTAATAAAAAGTTATCAAGTAGTTTTATTCTCTTGTGTGTGATTTCTTAGTTTGTTTTAATAATGCAACTGCTTTTGAACTCTGCTTCCAGAAAGTGTCTCTTGCTTCCATAACCAAACAGATCTCTGTTAATTATTGTTCACCAGATAATCCAGGTCTAAGGTCATGAAGGCAAGCTGAATGTTTCAGAACCCTATGAAGAGAGGGGCCTTTATTATTTGTGAAGTCCTCGGGGTATTTTTGAGGGCCGTGTGCAATCTGAAACCAAACTAAAATTTGAAAAGTTTGTTCAGCTTGCTGTGAAAATATTTCAGGGCTGTGAGTGACCTGGATCATCTCCAGTGACTGTTGATTTGCCAAAGAAAGATTTAGAGCCATCTCAGTAATATAGTGGGAAATGAGAAAAGTGTCTTGTATCTAAAGGGTATTGGCTGTTCCATGTGTGATTTGTTTTTATCTTACTGCAGTCAGACTGCTTTGGAAGCTGTTAGTTAGACTCATTACCCCTTTTCAATTGTAATGTTTCAATATGCAAGCGTAGCTGTACATACTTTTGTGGTATCGATACTGTGTTACATGTAATATTCATATGCTAAATGGTTTCCTGCCTCTTTCTATCATGCTTTCTTTCTAAAACATTGTCTGTGATGCTTTTTTTCTTTGTCTTTGTATTGTTTGAAAGTAAAAGTTTCATATTCACCAGCCACTTGTATTTGATTGAAATAAAATATTCATAATATAAAGTAGTAACTCATGTTTTACTGTATGGAACTAACTTTATGCAATCACTGATGTTAGTTTTTATTTTACACTTCTCCTGTGCCTTTACTTGTTTGGGGGCAAGTATTGTTTATTATTTTTCTATGAGTTTGTAAAGCTATAGTTAATGTTTGATTTGTGTGTGTCGGTGAAATCTGTTGCAGTAGTTTGTGGGCTCAGGATAAATTCATCTAATGTTTTCCTTTAAAATCATTTATTGTACACTTTTTTTGAGTCACCTCAATGTGGAAGGAATAAGTAGAACTACATAAAATGTTTTTCTTCAGCATGGATTTGATGTACTTCACTGAATAAATAGTAGCCTAATTCCCTCTACTAACTGTACTTTTATCTCCGTTTATCTCAGAGAATTGACGCCTCCTAACACTCAGGTGCTTCTCTAATCAGACCCATCACCCATTACCCTTCTTACCCTTCATTTCATATATTTGCTTTTACCAACAGATACAAAAAATTTATTTTCACAAGTGATGAAGATAATATACTTAGGAACACATCAGGACTGCATCATTTTTTTATTAGTACACATCTCAAGAAGGGTACCCAAATTTCTTCTTCAGTTATTATTAAAGATACCAAGATTTATGCATAGGTTTTCAACAAACCTTGTTTGAAGTTCCCGCACTACTTTGCATTGATCGAAAACAAACAAAATCGAGCTATGGTTGTTGTTGTTTGTTGTTGTTGTTGTTGGTGGTGGTGTTTTTGTTTACTTGGTTTACTGCAGGAGACATATCGCTATATCTAAACGTTTTCGTCTCGACATATTTGTGCTCAAGTGGAATTTTTCCTAAGGTTTTTATCTCAAATGAGTGTTTTGTTTGTATTACCATTCCACATCTTCAAATACATTTCTATCTATAGTTAAAGCATCCATCAGAAGCCTGAAGTCACACATAACCTTACAATCATGACAGACTTCATGGATCATAGACGTGAAGAAAGAGAAAAAATTGGTCTTGAGGGATCAAAACATGTTTGGGGAAGATCACCATCTCACTGTGAAGAGTAAGTTTATTCTGATACAAGTCTAAAGACTGGGATAGTAAATATATTTAGTACCTTACGCTGCAATTCATTTCCTGTACAATATTTTAGCATTGGATTATTGCTATGATTAAGTTAAAACAATTTTCCAAATGCTTTTTTATATAAATTAAATTTGTTTCAGTTCTGACACTACTGAGTATCTCTTTGAAATGGCAAAGAGGAAGAGAGAACAACCAGATGAAGAACAACCATCTCAGAAAAAGTCAAAGAAAGATAAAAAGAAGAAAAAGAAACACCATAAAGAACACAAATCTAAGGTAGTTGTTAACAAATTTCTCTTTATTATAACTTAGCTATGATATTGACATTGTCACCGTTGCATGTCTCAGAATAGACCTTTTATCCAAACGATGTGGCAACGCCGCACGCTAATAGTTTCCAGCGACAAACTCTTAATTGTGATCAAAATTCAAAATTCTGGCCACGGTGTTTGATTTTTATGACCACTCCACATCAAACACCGTGGCCAAAATTTCAAATATTGACCACAGTCAAGAGGTTGTCGCTAGACAAAAATAGCGATATTTGGGCGACTGTACGAATATCCGCTTTGGATAAAACGTCTATCCCCACCATAGTTGGTGTTCGATTTTGGGACTGACTTTGGTTGTTCTGAGTGAGCAAAGATGAGGACCATTGAACATGCTGGGGATATGGGAAACTGTCCTGTTCTCTTTACAGGACCTTTGTGATTTTAACACTATTTTTTTCTTGTGGAGTGAACTCTGATGTAAAGATTGTGCCTGTCTGTAGTTATTTGTGGTTTGTACAAGGGATTTTCATCCCTCTTATGTTGACAGAAATCTAGTAAAAAGAAGCGAAAGAAGGAGAAAAAGTCAAAAAAATCAAAGAAAAAGAAGGAATCATCATCAAGTGACTCATCTGACAGCAGTGACTCTGAAGAACAGTGGGTCGAAAAAGATGGTGAGTTTTTAGGTTCTTAGAAACCAGTATCCAACTTTTGCAACTTAAAGGTGCTCATTGCTCATTCCATGATGGCTCTAACAATTTTTCTTTGTTACTCCAGCTGCTCAAAGAAAATCACAGAAATCACATGACTCCTCATCTGATGAGGAAGGGATTGTTGGACCCATGCAGAGCTCTCATGGAGGCTTGTCTGCCAAAGATTTTGGAAAGGCCCTGCTTCCTGGTGAAGGTGCTGCCATGGCTGCATATGTAGCTGAGGGTAAAAGAATTCCACGCAGAGGAGAAATTGGTCTTACATCAGATGAAATTGCTAATTATGAATCTGTTGGTTATGTCATGAGCGGAAGCAGGTTTGTTACGTCATGGAAGCTGTGCAGACGCTTTGGTAACTTTTGGAATAATGACACACTAACAATCTTTTCCTAACAGACACCGGAGAATGGAAGCTGTTCGAATTCGTAAGGAAAACCAGATTTATTCTGCTGATGAGAAAAGGGCATTGGCTATGTTTAGTAAAGAGGAACGACAAAAGAGAGAAAATCGAATATTATCTCAATTTAGAGAGATGGTCTCCAGTAAGCTTGATAAGAAATCATAAATGAATAATGTATTATATTTAAATTATGTGTACATAATTATTTTTAAAATGCTTCCTGCGATAAGTATCTGTATACTAAATCAACTGTAATTTAAATTCTTAAAAAAAGATAAATTAAAAATACCTTTAGACAAGCTTGAAATTATTTGTCATTTTGATTCCCAACATACCATCCAAGAGGCCAGGGCTTGTAGCATCAGTGGTTTCAATCCTTTCAAATTGAGACCAGTGCCCACAGAGACTTAAAATCCTAGAATTTTAGCAATAAACAAACCCAGTAGAAGTGGTACTTTTAGTGAGACTAGCCTAAGGTCCCACTTTTTGAAGCACGGGCAGATCGCAAGCGAGAGGGGGAGAGGAAAAGTGTGACTTAGGCTGGTCTGCCTATACCCAATAGAAAGCTTCCAGGCTGGTGAGTGCTGACTTTTTAATTGAGGTCCTACATTGTTATAACATTTGAGGATTCAGTCACCACACTATTAGGAGTAACCTGGCAGAGCAAGTGCCACCCAAAGAAATTTCTATTAATGTGTCTACAAGTATTTGGCCTGTAACAGCAATTGTCCAGTGATCAACAAAAATGTTTTGTTCCTTATTTAGTTTTCACTTAGCAGCCGTGCGAGATAAGCTATCCTGATGGTAGGGACTATTTCTTGATGCACAATGTTCAAGTTACTCCCTGTAGAGGCAGCTGTATGAGCCTTGTGATAGCTCCCTTCTAATAAATTCCACACATGGAACCAAATTTAAGCATTTCAATATGCTAAACCTTGAGGAAAGGCCGCAAATGCTAGAGAAAAGAAAATGGCCACTTTCAAGGCCAGGCTGAAGGCAAAATTGTATCCAGACATGCCTCATCAGATGATTGTAGGCATCAAAGATGTAAGGTGCTATCTGTCCATTGCTGAGTTTTACATCAAGCGGGAAATGATGACCCACAGGTAAACCTACTCAAAGTTGTTCACTGGCATTATTCTTGTGAAATTTGTGGAAGTAAAGGGGTGATACAACCATTCTTTTCAAAAGTTATTGCAAATATGGGGGTATATCCCAAACTAGTTTCACAGATTTGATTAAAACATTCTGTAGAGAAGAGGATTGAATAATTCAAGTAGGACACAGTGAGTTTTGTGAATAATTTTAATCCTTCTTAAGCAACAAATTCGTAGGGAATTGGGGCAAGCTGAATCAGCTCTGTTCCCTTAACAATGTGAGCAGGCCTGGGTCCCTTTGGCTGCAAAAAGGATGGACGAAAAAGAATTAGTAAAATAAATTGACAAGTAACACACTGACATCCAATGCAATTCACTTACTATTCTCTTCAGGGTAGCCGCCTGACCGCTGGTGCGCGCTGCTTTCCTCAGACGCTCGTTTTCCTTAACACGGGTAAGGAAGTCCTCTCTGCACTTTGAGTGTTTGACGTGCTCAATACGGAGGTTGATCCTTAGAAACAAATTTGAAAAAGGACAAAACCAATGTTAGTTAAATGTAGATGCTAGTTAAATGAATTTGTTCACTTGACACTACATCAGCACTGATTTAAATTCACTAAAACTTAATGGAGTAAGAGGAGGGAGGAGGGAAGGGAAGACTTTGGTACAAACCTCTTAGGGATAATGCGACCACGAACCCTCTTGTTGACAATCACACCAAGAGCGTGTCTGCTAACGTTGAACACACGACCAGTTCGGCCATGATAGGATTTGTGTGGCATACCCTTCTGGACAGCACCATTACCCTGAGAGGAAAAAAATAAAATATTAGATTGTATTTCCAACCATTATGACATTTACCTCAGTATTTTGCTAGATGCCTACCTTGACATCAACGATATCTCCAACTTTGTATACTTTCATATACGTGGACAAGGGGATAACACCCTTGGTCCTGAATTTCCTAGAGAACAAGTCTCTGGTACCACGACGGTATCCTTTTGGGTTGGTCATCTTGAGGCTGAAAGAGCAAATTAATATTTAGTAAACAAGTTCACAAAATTTAGCAAGAAGGATCACTCAACTAACAGGCTCTGCTGAAACCAGTTCTAAGTAACCCGAGTAAAGATGTGCTGTGCTATCGAATAGTACTTTAATACGTGAAGTGACAAGGGGGTAGTCTGATTACACTCCGACAAGGATTATCAAGACTGCGAACTTCCGAGAGGTTATGTCGGCAGAATTTGGAAAATGTTAGCTTAAGACAACGTGTAAAAAGAAGGCAAAAATCAGCGTATCAAATCCGGAACGAAATTGGTCGTACAAACCACCAAATGCGGCAACACGAGAACAAGCAAAGTTTTAAAATGTCCACACGTGGCTTCGAGCTAGAAAGCACGCACGCCAGCACCACCGGTCGACGCCGGATGGTTAGGTCCTAACGTTCCAAAATGCGAACGGTTCTGGAGTTTCTAGACATATTATATGGTCGGGCAACTTAAGAAATGTTTCAGCGAGTACCTGATGTGATTCTTGCGCAATTAGCCGTGCAAAAACTCAGCAGAATACGCACCGTCCACTCGCACTACAGGAATGGGGAAGAAAGAATGAAAGAAGGAATATGGAAGCATCAACAAATATTAGTATCCGGTTCCTGCGACTCCGTATGAAAAATTCACAGGCCAACAGTAGTATGAGAAATCGGCCGGCAAAAAACGGATCCGTTTTCCGAAAGAGAAAAGAAAGTAAAGTAGTAGTGTTGGTGCTAAAGTAAACGAATTTAAGGGAGCCCTGGAATTGTGCTGCCCCCTCAACTTAAAGTACCTGTTGTACTTTAATATTTGGTTTAGTCGAGTCGGAAGCAAGACTTGTCCAGTGCCCGCGTCGTTAGACAACGCAGTTTATCGATTTTTCAGTTGCTTGCGGCAGGCGGCAGGCCCTTTCCCTTTCCCCACAAACCAAGTGTTGGGTCACCATTGCGGCAGGTAGTTTGGCCAAACTTGCTTCGTTTTATCTAAAACTAGTTGATTGATTGATATCGCTTTGGAAAGAAAAATAGAAGCATTGGATTGTAACTGTGTCGAGTATAAGTTCAAAAGGTAGTCGAAAGTCAACTCAACATTGGTGGATTTACTTAATGCCTCAATCCAAAATCCAATCACCTCTCAAATTAAGTTTTTTTTATTATTTTGTAGCTGAGTTTCCTGTAATCTACATCATATTTTTTCCTCAGACAGGAATGAATGTTATCTTTCTTGTTAAGAGAGCCAGTAATTATAACTGTTAATCTTTTTTTTTTCTTTTTCAATTTATGGAGCTTTTAACATTTGTACTGAATATTTTAATATTTTAAATTCAACATTGTAGGCATTCATTGTCTCTTTTTCAGTCTGCAATTTTGCTTTATTTCTGACCTTTGCTGCTACTCAAATCTTAACCAGCTGTTGCATTTGGAGTGTGCTCTGATGTTATTGCTCATTTGCCCTTGTTTTACTCTTCAGGAAAGGTGCAGAGTTTTGACATTCCCACTTAACCATGGCTGCGCAATGGATGGGGTTTACTATATCCATCGATTGTGGACCAATGGGTATATTCCAAGGAGTGGTGACTGCGGTTGAGGCCGAACCACAAAGTGTGACGCTTAGCAGAGTTTTTCACAATGGAGTGCCTCACACTTCTCCTTCTATAGTCATCAGGTTTGTCTCCAGACCACTATAGAGTTATGATTTCTGACATATTTCATATAATTTAAGAATTTACTCAAATTTTTAATTTAATATTGTATTTAATTGGATTCAACACTAACACTTCTAATTCTGTTTTTCAGTGCCCTTGATATCAAAGACTTAACAATTATTGCTGCTCCTCAAGCTCAATTAGATCCAGTAGTTGAGCTGAAAAAACCTATTCCCACACGACCTGGACGTGGTTCTTGGGAAGGAGCTCAGAACTTCCATTCGCAGCCAGCTCCACCTAGAATGTTACACTTAAACGACATAGACCTAGACCCAAGAAAAGCTCCACTTCATTTAGAATATGAGCCAATGATTCCTCAAATGGGCTCACTTAGCTCCACACAAAACGAGATGTCAGGCTCTGGTCAATCTCTGCGACACTCTCCTGCACAATCATCCGACCGGAGACAACAACTCATTTCATCGGCCGCTGCTGCAGTGCAGCTTAGCGCACTGCAGGCTGCTCTCCCTGGTGCCTTACGCCTGAGTGCGCCTCCGGCAGCCTCTTCAGCCAACTGTACACCAAAGTTGAACACAGCTCAGGCAGTCTCTCAGAATGCTCAGCAGAGTTCTTCACAGGCACGTGGCCAGTCTAAAGAAGGGCCCGGGGTTTTTAAACTGACTGCAGCGTTGGCAGGTCAAGCTATGCAGCCTCCATCTCAGAATTGCAAACAAGTCTCAAGTGCAGGGTGGTTGCAGCCTGGTGTCTCCTATCCATACAAAATGGGACAAGCATCTCCATTGAAACCATCTCAAGGAAACAGTGTTCCCTCACTCAGAAGTATGCAGCAGAAAGCCGCTGAAAGCCTTCCCCTAAATACTGCAGCCCAAGCGCTCCTCCGTGGCAACACATCTCATGGAACGGCCCAAGGTGCTTCCTCGCTGCCCAGGAGTCAGGGAGCAGCTGCGTTGCAGGCGTCACCTCATAAGACTGTGCGGGCTGCTCAAGGGTATGCCCAAAATGCACAAAACTCATTGCAAATCAATGCTGATGACTATGCTTCGGGCTCAGGTAGTTAATACATGTGTTTTATAAAAATTCTATTTCCAAGTCTGCCCTGTAATTGTATTGTTTTATTTAATCTAATGTACCAATCTTTTATGAATCTCAATATTTTCAGGAGATGGTAACCGCACTCCTCATAGAAGGGATAGACTAAGACAAAGGTGGCAAGCTCGTGATGAAGCCTGCTTTGGATCCCCTACACATAATGGATTTGATCAAGATTTTGATTTTGAGAAAAATCTTGCCTTGTTTGATAAACAGGTGAGTTAACACACAACTTTTAAACTATAATGTATGATTAAATTTAATTCCATCATAAATGCAATCCACCTCTCTATCTAGGCCGTGTTTGAAGAAATTGCCGGACAAAGACCTGATATTGTTCAAGCTGCCAATGACCCAAGAAGACAACAGAACTACAGACATGATCAAAATATACTGGTCAACAACCGTAGGATTCCTACCATAATTGTTCCCAACCCAGGTTCAGCTGAGTATGTTACAGGTTAGTCAACAGGCCTTTTTTCTGCCCTGTTACAATGTGTTTTTGCCTGTAGTATGTCCTTGACCAAATATTTACTTATGTTCTTTTCTTAGATGATGGATTGGTCATACCCACCATGAGACCAGAGTTATTACGTCAACTGCATCAGAAAGCTCATGATGTTGGTTTTACATTTGATCGACAGTCAGAGCTTTTTGCCAGATGTGCAACTGAAATGTCCCTTCAACTACTTGGTGGTGCACACAGGTACATTGATGTCCAGAATACCACAACCTCTCTTTCTTTTATTTACTATATCTGCTCCATTACATTTTTTGTTTTTAAAATTATCTCTACCAGGCTTACCCCTCACAATGCCCATCAGTGGCCCACAGTTATTGTGATGGTAGGACCCCACAGTCAAGGAGCGGCAGGCGTCATGTGTGCACGACAACTGGAGTGCCAAGGTGTCAGCTCTGTTGTTTTAGTGGTAAATGAAGCTGCTGCACCACCTCTTATGAAGCGCGAACTCAACTTCTACAAATGTAGTGGTGGTCCAATTGTCACTAGCATTGAGCGTAAGTGTGAAACGTCCATGAATAAATAAATTTTATGGCAGTTTCCTATTATTCCTGGTGATTACCTGCTTTTGACTCTCATTTTATTAACAACGGTTTTCCACATTCTTTTTTCCTTCTTCTCAGAACTACCAGAAACTGTTGACCTAGTCATCATGGCTCTTGCTGGACACCTTCCATCTGATGTTGCCAACTCTCTGGAATATGGCAAGGCAGCATCATGGGCCAGTAACAAGAGGGCCCCAGTCCTTGCGTTGGACCCCCCTCCGGTGGGGACTCCAGGCATCATCACGCGGTTTGCACTTGCACCAACTCTACCAGTGACTTACTCTCCACAAAATGGCAAGATATACTTATGCAATCTTGGTATACCTATTGTTGTATTTAAAGAGATGGGAATCAGATATCGCTCACCATTTGGATCCAAGTTTGTCATACCTTTGCATCCGAATGACGAGTAGGTAAAGAAAGCATGTTCGTGTATATATTGCTATGGCGTTCCTTGAAGCTTCCCCTTATATATATTAAATATGTCAGTTGAAGAGTAAGCGTTTACCATCTAAATCAGATTCCAGCAGTTTCGGTGAAAGAGTTCTATGTGAAGCCTTCACATTGACTTCAATTGTTAAGCAATTAATTATCTATCACACAAAGTATAATTCTTTGAGAAAAGTCTGTTATGTTGTCTGTCTAGTCACATATTCTTCACTTGAGCACTGAACTGTGTGTTCTAGAGTTGAATGAATATTGCAATTTATTCCAATTTTACATTACAGTTACCTATCTGAATTAACCCATCTATTAGAAGTATGAAATGACATTTCTTCAGAGTGTACCGCAAAGTGTGGAGAAAGTACCCATGACATTTGTGTGTGTGAGTGTGTGTGTGTGTGTGTGAGAGAGAGAGATGTATTGTGTCATTTTAGTAATGAGATCAATGTTCTAAGTATGAAGTAGACACTATTAATTTTAAGAAGGTGCCCTATATTAATATATTAAGTAGAAGTATGCATCAGTACACTATGTTGTTGAGAATTGCAATTTATGATTTTATGATATAAAATCTGAAACTTGTAATGGTTTGGTGATCATATTCTTGAAATCACACTGAAATATTGTTATCCTAAATTTGGTTTGCACATTCTTTGACTACAATGTTGACTGTATAATAATTCAAAAATACATGAGAGGTAGATGAATAGCTTTTAACAGAACTTGTTAAAATTATCCTGATACCTAGTTTTTAAGATTTATGTGCATATCTTTGTTTCCCCATCTCCTGTTGATGTTAATTGAACAGTTTATCCTCACTACATACATACTCTATAATTTATTATTGATATGTTTTCTTACGAGTGTTTGAGTTGTGTTTCAATTACAATTTTATCTGCTGATTCCATTCCTCAAAATATCTGCATAATGACATGGGTGGATAGTTGACAACAATATCAAGCTTCTTGGTATCTTGTGTACTGACAATTAAGTAGTTTTAGAAGGCAATAAGGTTGTGTTGGAAATTATTCTTCAATGTCTGTGGTTTATGTCTTACTGTGTAAGAATCTCCAGTTGCAATTGCCGGAAGTTACGGATTTAAATATTAACAATAAAAATAGCTTCCTGGAGGAGGAGAGAGAGAGAGAACCCCACTGTGTGCTGAATTTTCCCTAACCGTAGAAGTCGCCGCATTGCGGGAAGTTTGCGGGCGGCTTCGGGAGCGCTCTGCTCTCGCCGACCTGGATGACCGCCTCCATGCCGCTGGCCATGTGGTACTGGAAGTGGCAGTGGAAGAACCACGCGCCCCTGTTGGTGGCCTTGAACCGGAACCAGATCCAGCCGCCGCCGGGGAGCACGAGCACGTCCTTGAGGACGGGCTGCGGGACGTAGGTGGGCAGCGCCCTGCGGTTGTAGAGCTCGCGCACCGCCCGGGAGCGCGCCGCGCCGCTGGTGATGTTGCGCAGCGTGCCCATGCCCATGCAGGAGAAGGAGGTACCGTGCAGGTGCATCGGGTGTCCCAACAGCGTGTCGGTGTCGTCCTCGGGGGTGACTGAAACAAAGTGAGTAGGGGTTAGTTATCCAGGATTAAATAAAAATAAAAAAAAAAAAACGTTCAAAAATTTTTTGTCGGCAGATTTATATTTTTTTCTAAACAGGTGAGAATCAATGAAATTTTTCTGAAGTAATTGAAAAAAATTCCTATTTTTTCTGGAAGCGTTACAGATTTTTCCAGAAAATTGCCGATTTTTTTTTAATCCCTCCGTTGTGATGACGTCCTTTTTCGGACCGTGGACGTGCACTACTCACTGTCGGTGTCGTCCACCACGATGACGTCGATGGTCCTGCCGTAGGCCACCTTGACGAGGTGCGGGCAGTCGCACACCGTCTCATTCTTGCAGCGCATCGGGAGCCGGCCCTCGCTGCAGTAGCTGGACTTGCCCGGCTGCGTCAGGAACGGCGCGCTGGGATCCGAGTACGCGATGCCGTTGAGGGAGGCGGCCAGGTTCACCCGACCGAAGGCTGCGTGTGGGTGCAGAAAGACGGGGCACGTGAGAAGGACGCCGCCGACGGACGTCACCGTCAGCTCCCCGTCGGCCGCCGGGACTCACATATGAACTTCTCGTAGTCGTTGTCGTTGCCGTCGAACAGCTCGGGCAGCGGCAGCAGGTTGAACTTGAGCCGGAAGAAGATGAGCTTCTGCGCCTTGGTCCTCGGCTGCGTCGAGTACGTCTCGGGCGGGTTGGCGGCGCTCAGCTCCGCGGCGCACACCTTGCCGGGCTCGTCGCAGTCTCCCGGGGGGTTGACCACCTGCGGAGCCAGCCAGAGACGCCCTCGAGTCATCAGTGATTGTCTGTCGCCCGAGACTCGAGAGGGGCCGGGGGCCGTGTCTCATCGAGCGCCAGGTGTGCGACGGGAGAAAACCCCTCCAGCTAAACGCCGCGTCGAAACCATTTATCTCGGGACGGCGCGAAAAATCGTCGTCGTTTCGACACGTGTGTCGTTTTGATCACACGCTCTTATGGCTCACCGTGCCGTTGGGCAGCTGGACGTGCTTCCTGACGGCCGGCGGGGCGGTGGGCGGCAGCCTGGCCTTGGCGCCCTTGTAGATCAGCAGCGCGCGCTGCTCCGAGAAGCCCGAGTTCTGGCAGAAGCCGACGGTGCGCACGTAGATCCAGTAGACGCCGGCGGCCCGCGGCCGGGACTTCCCCGTGATCACCGCGTCCCAGCGCTCGCCTGAGGGGCGGGCCGGGGCGCGACCGTGAGAAATGGATCCGCGTTATTTGGAGCATATTTTTTTCACACCCGGAGAGGTAACTTTATCACGGGGTTCCCAAAGCATAGCCCGAGGGGCACTTCACTCAAAAAGTCACTGTACTGTCAGCGCAGAAAGAATTGAACCCCTCTGACTCCATATTCCAAGCAGAAAGGGCTCAATTCTATCAGCGCAGATAGTACACCCTCAAAAAATAAAAAAAAATAAAAAAATCAGGACTATGTAATCCATTTTCATATGACTTTCACATAAGTCATAACTTGACCTGTTTCTGTTGATACTCTCAATATTATAAAGTTTTGTTCGTGGAATTCAAACCACTTGTGCAAAATGCAGAGATGTCATAAATTGACAATTAACAATGTTTTTAGTTTGTCATCAATTCCAAATGAATTGCTTTTGGCAACAACTTACACTTGTGTAAAATGGTGTGCCAATGCTCCATGCTATTCACGTTTCGGTAAAAATAATGGTGAATAGCCTCAGCATATAATAAAATTACAAAGATCTAAAATAGATACCTACCTAT